CGACGAAAATTGATCCTTAAGTGTGTCTGATTATAGATATAGTTAAATTACTAGTATCCCTTTTTTTAATCGTACAATAAATTTTATGAAATTCTAGATTAAAAATATCTTGCGTATTAAAAATAAGAATTTTTTTATAGATTTTCTCTGCATCGATTGATTTATTTAAAAAATGATCCCATTTAAAAAAGAAACGAACTTGATCTTCGAAATTCCTCCGAGTAGCGAAAAAAAAAAATTGATAACATCGTATTTATGTTATATCTCTCTTTTATAACTTTTCCACGAAACATTTTTTCAACGAACGAATTTCAGGAGTTTATTATTTGAAGTCGCGAGAGATGGGCAAAATTCAAACGGTTAAAGTTAAGAATAAAGTTACCTGAATAAGTAGTTTATTATTCAAAGCATGGAATAACCGCGGTTAACCTGAGGTTATACGGAGGAGCAAGCAACCGCAGTGGCCAACGAATAAATGCTATCCCACCATTTTAAACAAAGTTATCAACTATTCAAAGTTCAACTTTCAACTCTATTCACAAATTTTAACTAATTAATCTTTCAGCCTATCAACCCTCGAGGTCCTCGTATTTCGTGTAAATCTATTTTAATCGAATAGTGCACGGATGATTAAACGATCGCGAAGCCTCGTATCGGTGTACATCTCTCGCGATCGGAGTAGCAATCGTAGATGCTATCCGCGTGAAATCTACCTCGCCCAGTTTTAGAATTGATTTCGAACGATATCTTTTCGGGGAATCGGTCGAGTGATTACTTTTCAATCGGATCTACGATGGATCGAATGATGGTCGGAACGCACTATGCACCAACCATCGTGAAAGATAGCGTCTCCGGAGCGGCGATAATTCCATCCTCGCGCATTGTTATCGATCGAAAGGACCAACCGATCTCTATAAACCTTAATGGAAAAGAATCGCCCGTGTTCGCACGTTTTTTAATAAATGGACCGAGTTTCCATCCCGAGTTTTCAAACCGGCAAGATCCAATCTGGACGCGTGAAAGGAAATCTAAATATTTCATAAAACGGTATTCCTCCGGCGGAAAATACGAGCAATTTTGTTTGAACTCTGTTTCAAGTTATATTCTCCGTTTCTTTTTTCTTTTTTTTTTTTTTTGGAAAAGAAGAACAATTTCGATGAATTTTCCTTTTTTTCTTTTTTTCGGCCACTCGATGATGCAAGAATTAAAAGAGAAGACGGGTGGAATGGTTATTATGGCTTATCGAATATTTAAATTAGCGTACGATAAATTTCGCGTCCAATCGGAAGTGAATTTACTTGGAAAGATGCTTTATCGATCCATTGAAATTAATTTCACCCGTTATCGAATAACTTTGCATCGGATTATGCTTTTATAACGATTAATATTTTAGTTACTGCGCAATAGAGTGAAAATTCGGGAATTATGCCGTCCGATTCTTAATTGAAAACGTATGCTCGTTTCGATGGAAACGAAAAGAATAACTCGATTAATCGAAATCATCGTGAACGTCGCACGGATGAATTGCTACCGAAATTAACAACTTGTTCATTCGATCCGTCCCAATTCGACATAAATAAACACCATATTGCAACTTCTGTGAATCATCCTTCAAAATATCGGGTAAAAATAATCGTCGTCTCGCGAATATCTCGAAAACTATCGTCGAGTCACATTTTCAATTCACGAACGAGTTCACGATGGGTGATGGATACGGAGAGATCCGGTCGAAATATTCGCCAACTGAATCGAATTTCTATCGTCACGGACGGATGAAAAACGTGGGCAGGAATTTCATTAGCGAGGCGAGATGTGTTAGGTGGGCTGGTCTGGAAAGATGACGGTCGATCGTTCGCTCGAGATGCCGGATCGAGGTTGGATTGATCGTCGTCCACACTTGACCCGAATCGCCTGATTAAAACACGGCACGGCTCGCTGATTTTCCTATTTGTCACGTGTCGTCGCGATCGAGTCGCGGGACCCGGTGTTATCAGAGTTATTACCAGTCGGAGTCCACGGTGATCCGAAATCCATCGGCGCCGTTGCAAATCATACCCTTCGCATAGCGTTACGACTTTTTCTTCCATTCCTCCATCCCTGTCGCGGCACAAACTCGACGCCTCCCCATTAATTGTACTCGTTTGTACAAGTTCCACTGCTGCTGCTGCTGCTACTGCAACTTTGCACTCGCGCTACGAGTTAATTGACGCGATCAATCCGAAGCTTTCTAACGAAACGGTTGTTCTACGCTTGATTGGCGAACTTCGATGGAAAAGACGAAGAGAGAGTTGGATTGGTAGACGTGAACAGGGAACGTTGAATCGAACGTTTTGCCTTGGAATGCGTGTATCCAGAAAATATTTTGATTCGTTGCTGAAGCGACGTTGGACAATGTATAAATCTGATCTTCTTTCAATAACTTTGAATAACTTTAATATTTGAATTTGAAACAATCCTCGATTAGTGGCTACTAGATTTTATTATTTTTTTCAGAATGAAAGAAGCGACGTTGGATAACGTATAAATCTGATCTTTGACTAACTTTAGTACTTGAATTTGAAACAACCCTTGCAATTAGTGGCTACTAGATTTTATTATTTTTTTCAGAATGAAAGAAACAACGTTGGATAATGTATAAATTTAATCTTCGAATAACTTTAATACTTGAATTTGAAACAATCCTCACGATTAGTGATTACTAGATTTTATTGTTTTTTTCAGAATGAAAGAAGCGATGTTGGACAACGTATAAATCTGATCTTCGAATAACTTTAATACTTGAATTTGAAACAACCCTAGTGATTAGTGGCTATTAGATTTTATTATTTTTTCAGAATGAATCTGAGACTTGCGATTTCGAGAGGTCCTATATTTTTAAAAATTGTTTCCCTCGCACCATCGATAAATCTACAAATAACTGAAAATTGCAATTCTCCTTGCTTCGTAGCTTCGTCGTTTGTCACGACGACGAAGGAAAGGAAAATCGGTCGGTTTTCACGACTCGTGAAAATATACTCGTGAATAAACGCGTCGATACGGTTATTTGTAAGTCAAGCAGGCGCTAGACGGGTGCAATGTCGTTTCGAGATCAATCGTGGCCGAGAAGAAATTGCTCGCGCGTGAGAAACACATCCCTCTCACCCTTCCCCTGAATATGAATCGGTTGGCACAGGCTATGAATGAACGACGTTACTCGATGTGTTTCACGATGAGACCGGTTTGCACAGGTGGATGGAGAATCTTCCACCTTTCCCTCCCTTCCTCCTTATTTTTCATGGGCCTTAAACGCCCTCGAGATTGCCGGTATCACCAATTAGACGACGTGCGCAGCGTCGACAACGAGAGTACAGATGAAATTTAGCGCGACTCCAGCTAACGAGTAGTTAATTCGACTGGTTTACGAGAGTCATGGGACGCGAGGAGTAAAAATTATGTCGAACGCGGGGAGGGTTTGAAATTTCTGAATAAAAAATTTTTTCGTTGTATTTTTTATATAGGAGAAGGAAAGAGAGAAAAGTTATTTTGAAAATGACTCGAATCACGATTGATTCCCTGATTTAACCGTATTACAGCAATCTTTTTATTATTTCGTTATTTAAATTTTGATCGATTTTAATGAAAATTCTAATTCTCGAGCTTCGCCGTTGCGTACTTTTTAAAATTTTTTATTCTCGACCCTTTATATTTCCCTTCCCCCTTTCATCACCCGTGTTAACTCGAAAAAAAAATATATGAGTCCTTTTAATTAGAAATGAAAATTGATTTAAACGAGATTTTAATAGAAAATGGTAATTATCCACGTGTCAAGTTTCAAACAATTTTCGTTCCCATTTTTATGAATCTTTTCTTTGAAGTGGGTGCTCGTGCTCTCTGGATGAAGCACCCGCGTTTCACGAACCCGTACTTTTATTCAATATACATCTAAATGAATTTTTTAATGAACAATGAAACATTGCCGTGTGACGGAAGGGCAAGTTAAAGGGCAAGTTAATTACGAATACACTAATAAAGTCAATTTCGCTCTTTCCCTCCCCCATCCCTTTCCCCTCCGTAATTGAGAGGATGCAATAAGCAATAAAGAACGTTCCATCCAATTTCATCGAACGCGTTCAAGCGATTTATGATATACGACTTTACGAAAGATTAGAGAAAAGAAGGGAAAAGATACTCACTGTAGGTGCCCACGTAGATCGGCGTCCATGTGACCTGGGAATCGACGAGAGTCGTAGCCACGAACAGAACAGTAGCGAACCATACACTCAAACGTGTCGCACTCATCTCACTAATAGCCCCGACAATCGCCATTTCCCACGTTTCAATCAGTCCTCTGCCTTAATATCATCTTCATCGATCATCCTCTCGCTTTCCCCTTTTATCGCTTCCCCCCCCGATCCGCCGTGTCTTCGATTTTATTTCTATCTCTTCTATAAAATAAAAAAAAGAAAAGAAAAGAAAAGAAAAAAGTAAAAAAGAAAAATTGTAATTATCATCCATCAAACTTTCAACCCACTTGTACTTCGCTTTTATGACTTTAAATTCGATTTTCTTTTTTTTTGTTTTTAGCTCGAACTGTCCCCTCCCTTCCCCGCTCCACCCTGCTCGAGCAATTTCGTCTCGAAATGCATTAAATTTTATTATATATATATATGTGTGTGTATACGTATATAATAAAATAAGATAGAATGAATATTGAATGGGGCCGAGTCGAATCGTTTTGCGAGCAATTAGCCCAGCGAGAAGTAATCTAAACTCGTGGCGATTTCACACAGGCACGGAGGGGTTAATGATCCGTGAACCGGGGGGCATCTGTTTTCGCGGATTTCGACGTTCGCGGTTAAATTGTCCGTGGTATTATCGGCTTTTAAATTAGAGAAACTTTTGAATTAGCGCCACTTTATACCCGCCTGTTCCTGTTTTTCACGAACGGCGAAGAAGTTCGCGACCCGAGTCACTTTTCATCGCGGCAGAATCTTCATTTCCGCGCCAGTTTTTGATTTACACTGGGATTTGTCTCTTTTTCGCTATCTCCATATCCCCTGGATGTTCTTTTCTTTCTTTTCTTTTTTTTTTCTTTTTTCTTTTTCATACGCGTGCACGATCAACGTGAATGAGAAATCCGCGAGCTCTCGGCCTCGGTGACGCCTTCACAAAGGCGTGTCACGATCCGGTGTTTCTGCGCCAACACCTCTGCGCTTCGACCTCGGTTCAATCCGTGATCTTCGTTCGAGAAACGTCCTCCGTGGGGCCTTTTGTCTGTGCTCCATCCGCGCTCTTGTTACCTTCGCTGCACAGATCGAGGGCTCTGTAACAAAGCAGAAATGCGAACCATTAGAGATATACCGTGGAGATCGATCGTTCGAAACGTTCGAACAAATGTAACAACGAGAGAAGTTTAATCATTCACAACGATATTTTTAAAAAGTATCAAAATCTTTCTCTCGCTATTTTTGTCCTTCCAAAAAGAAATAAAATAAAGCAAGATTCGTATCATTCTCGATCCACGATGTGTATTCTTCTTCATTTCTCAACTTTTTAATTTGATCAATTTAACGATATAGTATAAAAAAAAAGTATCGAGAATAAAACCTCGAGAAAATATTCTCTCCTGAAAGGATAAAACTTTAAGAAAAAAGTTAAGAAACTTTAATATATATAGAGACAAAAAAAAAAAATAATTCGATACACTAATTTCCAAGACTCTGATTCGACAATCCTTCTTAATTCGCATGACGGCGAGCATGTCGTCTCCGGCATCAACATTTTCCATCGATAGAGAGGGAGCTCGTTACCAGCGCATCGGATTCGAATGGAACCGTGCCTCCGCTGCGACATCATCCCAGCCCTCCCCTCCGGTAATGAGAGGGGAATCCGTACAAAACATGCCGAATACTCGACGTGATCCCCGCGTCGCGAATCATCCACGTCCGCGTTTTCATCCCATGGAAAATGTCGTCAATGTCTCGTTAGCGTATCTTGCATCCAGCTGGAAGCAACGCGTAAGGTATTGTCGATCCTCGTGTACGGGGGGCCAGGGTGACCGTGGATGTCTGAGGGATCAGACGAGGAGGAGGCTCTGTCTGTAACGAGAGCGTGTACTACCTTCGTGGAGGTAGTTCGTAATACGACAAGCCAGCGAGGCGAAGCTACTGGTTTTGTTATCGTTATTTACTCGTTATCTCTACGCTTTCGAGTCATACTGCGCCGGCTCATTGGGTATGAGAGAATTTCTGAGGAGTTCCGTTGTCTGTCATATTCTTTCTTCGTTGGTTTATCCGCTCGATAAAATATTGGATAAAATTGGGCTGAGGAAATAATGAAAAAAATTAAAATTTCGAAAGTTAGTTTAATGAATCAGTTACATTTCTATGTTTTGTCAAAAGTAATCGTAAAATGAAAAACATAAAATTTTAAAATAATAATTTTGTTTAAAATGCTTCGAATAATAAATAATATCAAGTAACTCATCGAGGTAAATTTTGTTCGTAACTTCAATCGTTAAAATTTTGCCAGAGGAATTGCCGATGCACGATACCAAGGAGAATTTCTTTAAATTCTTCTTCGAGACAAGATATAAAGGAGATATCAAAACCATCTCTCGTAACACGTCGGTTATAATATCATTAATTAAAAAGAAAAGATGGTGCGAGGAATTAAAAAAATAAAAAAAAAGATTTCATTATCGCGATGCCGGTTTACTGGGTATAGGTCAGTAGTCGAGTGTACCCGTACCGTATCCAATCGTCCAATTACAGGTCAGGCCGCGTCTATTGGAGACCGAGTCTGGCCAAGTGTCTCTTTATACGGAAGAAGCTTCCTTTCTTTAGCTCGTCCTCCCCCTCTTTTTTTTCTTCGGACAGAGAAAAGGAGGGCGTAGATGGAGGGCGTAGAGAGATTGTGGAACTCGTCGAACGCGGCCGCGGCACGAACGAGCCCATTGAAAAGGCGCCGATGCAGTTAACTTAATCCAGGTGCTGATTGGACACGGCAACCGAGAAACGACGAACGAGGAACGCGGTGGAATAGAAGGAAAGAAGGAAAAAAAAAAAAGAAAAGAAGGTAAAGAGGTTGCCCTTAGGTGGACTCCTCTCGCCAGGGGGTTGACCTTAATTGCGCCACACAATTATGGTCACTTCCGTTTGATGGAAGTAATGCGCCGTTAAAAAAAAAAAAAAGAGAAAGACCCAATAAAGCGGGGGAAATCTGTGATTATGAGAACGTCACCGGCACAAAGCCACCCTTTTCTCTACTTCCGATAGGAGGAACGCTCTCCTACGCTGTCCTCCACCTCTTCCACCATCTTCTCGCCGTTATTACGATTCCGTGTCCTGTCCCTTTTCTCGCGAGAAAGGGCGAGGGTTAGGTCTCGTTTCCACTTTGGATGGAAAAAATAAAGAGAGAAGCGATACCTATTCTCGAGTTGGTAAAAGGTGAGGGCATGGGCAGGGTTCGACTCGTGGAAAAATTGCGCGAGGATAGTAGTTTGGTAAATTGGCGGAGCAAACGTTTGATTTTACTACTTAGACGCTGGATACTCGTAGAGACTCGAACGTTACGCAAAAAATGGAATAAATTTTGTGTATAAAATGGTGCTACCCTACCCTAAAGTTATCAGGGAAAATAGTTATTCTTATACAACGTAATCAAAGGTGATTGTAACACGCCATCCTCGAAACGAACGATAAGTGCATTCTTGTGTGATTTTAAATATTACATTGGAAGCATGCAACGTACATTGTCGAGCTTGTCCCATAAATTTCCATAATAAGTTGCAATTACGAGGTATAATCAAGTTTATTATGATATTTATGACATTTTTTTTTTCTTTTCACCAGAATAATTTTTTCGCGAAAGAAACTCGTAGAAACGTTAGACGACTTTTTTTAGACGAATCGACTTCATTTTTTAATTTCGCGAACTTGGATGAAGAAAGAAAAATAAAGAAAATTTCAAAGTTTTGCGAGAAAAATGGCATTCGCAGAAGTAATTACTTCTGAAATCTGCAACTACCTTTAATCGTCGCTCGTTCATTGTTAACGATCCTTTTTTGCTTTTTTTGTTATTTCAATGGAAGAACAAATAATTTTTTCACAATATCAAACATCCTTTCCACCTCTTTGCCTCCTTAATAGAATGAAATTGAAGAATGAAAATTTCTTTCCCCCTTTCTCTCTCTCTCTCTCTCTCTCTCTCTCTCT